ATTTCTGGCTTAACCAGAAAATGGTTAAGAAACAGCATAACTTTAAATGCTAAATTATGCAAAAAATTGCTCCTCTACAGTTTGCTGTTCGTTATTTATAATAGAAACTTGAGTCCTGTAACGTTTGCTATAACGCTGTGTCTTATATTTGGTTGTCTTGCTGGCTAAATTTTTAATAATAATATAAATTATGAAAGCATTGAAAACGAACAAAAATAGAAATTAATAAATGTCTATTTTGCTGAGAAAAACTTCTGCACCAAATGACCGCAGCCAACAAAAGATGTGATGTGCATAACAAAATTTCAGTCAGCGTTTTGCACATTAAAATTACTTTAACTTCTTGGTTATTCACATCCGAGTTGCCAAAGCCACCACGACCTACTTGACCACAAAATAGGCAAGAATAATTTGAGCAGAAATTATTCCATTTAGCAAAGTGATTCCTATATATTTGCAGAATGGCTGAGAAGAAAAAAAATAAAAATTAATTTCTTCCAGTGAGAGCTTTGTGTTTACTATGATTAAAAGTCAGAGGGCGCGCAGAAGTCATTGAGTGTTGACGGTACAAGAGGAGTTTCTTTACAAGTCACTAACTTTCCCACTTGTGTGAACAATGACTCACTGACAGAGCATGTAAGGCTTTGTGAATAGTTTCTAGCTTATTCCTTCCTTCCCGCATCTTCACAATAAGTACATTACTCTGACAATGTAATAAAACTCTCTTTTTCTTGAGTACACTGCTGATTCGTTAATGAATCACTTTTTCAGTCATTTCTATCAACCACTCCGCACTAATCTAAAAACCATTTGTTCTATAAAACATTATTCTCATTATAATCATTGTTATTCATTTGGTCAACAGTCAAGTAAGTGTTGACTGCTTCACTGGCTTTGATTTGAATAATCAGGAAGTCCACACTAGTGTACATTACAGAACACTACATGAAGTTTTTTCTACGACATCGTATTTCTCATTCTGTGAATTACTTGGTGTAGATGACGTTTGTGAAACGAAACAGAAGTTGGTAAATTTAAATGCCTTTTCTTCATTTTAAACGCTGCGAAATACTAAGCAACTAACAAAAACAGCTGTTAGCAAATGTAGCATATAGCATAGCAGAAGCTATTATACAAAACAAGCTCAGATCTTGAGTGCCGAACATCAAGTTGTAACAAGTATTGCGCTAAAGATTTCAGCTCAAATATTTGCATAATAAAACGGGGTAAATCGTTTAGTTCGACTTTATTCTTATTATTCTTACGTATTTGTCAAGAGTGAGCGACAATCTCTCTAAATTCAGGAACAGTTACTGTGATCATTCTTCTAATACACTCGTAAAGATCTTTGGTTTGGTTACTTTATTAATGCGAGCGTAATTAGCCCTTTACAGCATGTAGCACCAACCATAAACTCTTGTATCTTAACTTTCTTGACCTTGTAAAAATCTTAGACTTTCTGGACTTGGGTCTTTTTTTTTTGAGGAACCTGATAATGGTTTACATTTCTTAGGGGAACATGGTAACAAATGCGAAACTTACTGTTTTTTTCAAAAAAGATAACAGAAAAATGGCTAAATCACTTTTAATCTCTTCATTTGTGTACTACCTGTTTTACTTGAAGTAGAAAATTATTGCCGACATTTATTCTTATCGTGATTGTAAAAAAATATACTTCTTATCTCAGCTCAGCGCATACATTCTATTAGTGAAACTCATAAGTAGCAAAAAGAAAAAAGCGTAGAATGAACCAGGCAGAAAATTAGACTTGAAACCGACAAGTAACCGATAAGTAAAAAATAATATAGCATAATACTTAAGATATAGAACTTAAACTGTTTAGTAGGCACAATTTACAAATAAAAAAGAATCTAAAGGTTGAACAGAGAATAGTCGATACGAATAGATAGCGATGTGATATGGCTCAAGCGTTGAAGACACTAAATAATTCTTTAAAGGATACTAATCTTTAAAATTTTCTAAGGCGCCCTTCAGCATAATTTTAGAGAGACGGATGTCTCTTTCATGTACTGTCTGATGTTGATTCACTCAGATACGTAGAGTCACTTGTGTAACCGTTCCAGGAGCTCCTCTTCAGGAGGATACAGTGACCTTGCATAGCACCTACGATGCCTTCCGCGTGCGGGTGTGGTCATATCTGCCCATATAATTAATACACGAAAACAAAAATGTCTTATAAATAGAAACCTTAAACTGTCACTTTTTTGATGATTTATAAATTTTAAAAATTGTCATCAAATTCAGTAAACAAAAATTTTTGCACCAAAAAATGTGAGACAATTTTCAGAGATTTTGCTGTTTTATTTGAACGACACCAAAAATTTAGCTAAACTATTAATAATATAAAATTTCATTGTTATACTTTTTAAAAACTGAGCGCTCATTTATATCTTAGCGGATTTACTTATGTGAAAATTTATATTATTTTAAACAAAGATGTACTCGATACTAAAAAAAAAACAATCACTACAAGTGACAAAAAATAGTTTTTCTGTAGTCAGGTAATGTAGATGGTAATTCATGTCTAAGACTCTTTGATTGAAAAAACTCACATCCGAAAAAGCTGTAGGATGTACTCTGTAACAAAAAAATTAAAGCTAACAACTATTCAAATTGTCCTAGCTAGCAGCGCGAGATGGTTGACTAAATAGTGACATTTATTTAGTAAACTGGAATCTATTCGAAATTATTGCCTATTATTATTCTTCTACAGAAGTAACAAAAAAGGGTATTCTGGCTGCCAAAGAAGAATGGTTGAGAAGTACTGATATTTAAGCGTTACAGGGTTGGCTCGCGTTTGCTTGTGTTATCAGATTGCCGGATTTGGTAAAAAAAGTAGTAGTATTTTGGAGCGATTAAATTTAAAAAACTAAGAAAACATATGTGTTTCTGTTTAAACTTAATTTATTGTCTCTTCTTGAATTTTTTAGTAGCATTGTTAGGTACAGAATAAATACGAGAATTAATTGTGGCAAGGAAATTTTAAAGTTTTTTTCTTTGATTTTCCACAATATGCTTGACGGGGAACTACTGTGAGAAATATGTGAACCAAACGATTAAGATGAGAAAATTGTAGTTTAAAGTAGAGAAATATTAGCACTGATTTACATTTATATAAGTTTTGCCACCTTTTTACGTGTGATTGCGGGAAAGAAGCAAACCAGAATTTGTTTTCAAATGCTGTGTTGTTTACTAAAACAAATAACGTTTTACACTGATCTACCTCTCTTTATCAATGAAGATGGCAAATATCGACAATGACAGTCTTTCAGTAGTGATTTCGAACTAAGCTTTAGGATGCGCCTCAAAAAGTTGCCCTACAAATTCCTCTTTAAGTTGCCTGTAGGCGAAAAATTGATCTGCTTAAGACAGAACAGAAATTAAAAAAATAATGAAAAACGTCGAAAGGTTTGCAGAGAAGAACTCGAAAATAGGTCGCTGGTGTTACGTAAAACTTGCAAACTGCCATATGTCAGACGTATATCAAAAGATATTTATAAAACTTTCTACCTGCTTAAAATAGTGTGTACTCCTAATTTCCCTTAAAATTGAAAAAATTGTATTCTATGAGTTTTTGAATCAAATCGTAAGCATAGCCACGTAAAACTTATCTTTATTTACATCTGCATGAGAGACTAAGTTGGTGTTCTAAAACCTAAGAGAATTATAGCACCGTGGTCCTAATCTATCTGAAATAAACAACAAGAAAAATCGTTTTTTTTTTCTTCTACTGTTTGTTCTGATGTAACAAAAGCGTTATCAGTCCAAGTCTGCGGTCGAATTACTACGACAAAAGCAAAGTTATTTACGTTCTTTTCAAATCTCTATGTTTGTCTCCAATTTTCGCTTTTTTTAATCACTTGAGCGAAGGGAGAATATATGGGTAAGTACTTCATACAGCAAAGTGAATGTCGTCAGCTAACAAAATGGTCATTTTAAAAATCACCACTTTTTTTTGTTACAGCAAATTGAAAAATGAGAGCGGAGAAGATATTAAAAAAAGTATGAAAAAATCGGGCAGTGCGGATGAGTTTGTTCTTTTGTCTCTTTGCGCTTTTTTTTTTTTTTTTTTGCAAGCACAACCTATAATCATAAAAATATAAAG